AACAAAATAGCCATTGCTTTTGAAGAGTTCGGTGGTTAAATTTTTCAAGAAAACCATTGTTGAAAGGTCTTGAATTGTGATTCCTCTCATGAACATTAGTGTTTCAACATTGATGATTTATTAATGGAGAAGAATAGATTTAAGTGGATGATTAAATTTAAGTGGGTATAGTTATTTATATTTAAACTAGTGACATGGACTCTAATGTGTGGCATTTTAATTGAGAAGTCGGGTGTCACTTCGTCAATTGAGGATGCAAAGGAGTTTATGAGATTTTAATTTGGCGGGGACGTGTGACTTGACTGCTGATTTGGAAAAAATGGAGTGGGTCACCTGCCACGGTGTAAATTTATTAGGGTTAGGGACAATTTTTAAAAGTTTATTATCGATAGGGGCTAGATTTGATGAATAGTATAACGGGTGTCAGAAGTAAACAATATAGTATAGTAGACAGGCAAATTTAGGCCTTTTCCCAAAAATCATTGCAAACAAAGGACAGATACATATATTCCTTTCTACTTTTTTTACATGACTATCTTACATATCATTTCCTTTAGAACACCATACAGATTCTGTATTACATAAGAGTTCATTTCAACTCATTGTTATTCACAGCACAAAGGTGCACAAAAGTATAGTTCACTTCTTCCTGTTTCCTTTTCGCTTCTTGAACTTGCCCTTCCCTTTTCCCTGCTTCCTTCCCGCGCCCTGATCACTAACTCGGGTCTCAGAAGTACTTGTAAATGGAAGATCCGTTGTAGCAACTTCATTACTCGCTACATAAAGCATTTCCTCGCATTGGTTCTCTAATGCAACGCTCCGGCTGCTATCCTCGGGCACAATGAACTGATTCAAGAAAGCTTCTAGCTTCGGCTTTTTTGACAACAAGCTCTCTAAAAAAATTTCAATGCTTCCCCTATCCAGAGGGCTGCATAACATTAAGCACAAAACTTTAGCCCCTTGCTAATCTAGTCAAATTAAATGTGTCGAGGGGCGGGTGGAATTCCATTTTGTTGACCTAAGAGCATACTCTTAACTACAGGTAGCGTGGTATAATGCAGCAGCGTAAATTCGAAGAATACAGTGGTTAAGAACAAGATCGCACCTCGTATTCATCAATGTATGGAGTTGTATCAACTCCTGAAGCATATTACGCGCTTCCTCCATCAATTCCTCACCAGCACAAAGATTCTCTCTCGAGGACAGGTTGATTGCAGCAGTCAAAAAGTTCACATTAGCATTCATTTCCTCCTTAAAACAACAAAAGAAAAGTTTAGTAACTTAATAGAAAAAGAGAAAAGCATGGGCAGCCCGGTTTACTAAACTCCCGCTATGCGCGGCGTCAGGGGAAGGGCCGGACCACCAGGGTCTATTGTACGCAGCCTTACCTGCATTTATGCAAGAGACTGTTTCCACGGCTTGAACCCATGACCTCCTGGTCACATGGCAGCAACTTTACCAATTACGCCAAGGCTCACCTACCCGAGTACACAGTTTAACTGAGTTCTAGATCATAAGACACAGAGAATTAGGATTAGCTTCACCTTCAAATTACGAGTTGAGAAATCTGCAGAAGTTCCAGAGTCATCGCCGCCACTAGACTTCAAGACATCTGATATTTCCTGAAACAAGGCCCAATTCATTTGCATTGGTTGATTACCACAATGCGAGGAAACGTTGGCGCATGGATCAGTAATGACTTCTGTAACAGTGAAAGTCTGAACTATTGAACTGCCAGTTCTGGTCGGAAACAACAAACTCAGGATGTCTTCTCTGCTGCAGTTTGTTCCCAACTTGACAGAAATAACATTGGTATACTCAACTCCCGTAGCAATCTCACCAAGGTTGACAACCAGAAGAGCGTCACCGCCTTTTTGAAAAGCTTCTCCAATTTCATTGATCTGAAGATAGTTATTCTCCGTTCCTCGTTGAAGGATGGAATAAAGTTCCTCTGGAAGTTGGTTCCTAACATCATCGATACTGAGCACTTTGAAAAGAACATCATAGTATTTCTCACAGTTCACACAAAGTATGCATAGGATAAGAACCAATCTCAAGACCATTTGCTTATAGGACAGATCGACATTAATTTTACATCGGGAAATCCACTCAGTTGTACTAGCTTTATCATAAATGAATACTTGCACCATTGCAAGAATGGAATCAAAAAATTCTTCTAAAGGCAGTGTGTTAATTGCATGCCCGGAAGTTGGTCGGGCTTCAAACTGCTCAGAGATCAGCCATTCCACAAATGAAGATTTCGCGGTGAAGAAGAATCCACGACACAGAGATACCAAAATCAGAAAGCGCTCAAGAAGATACAAGAAGCAACAAGGAGATAAACAGTCACCTATTTTCTTCCAGTTCGCACTAAAGGTATCCTGTAAAGCTTCAAAAAATATCTGCAATAATGTAACCTCCGCAGTTTTAACTGGATTATTCGAAGATTCCAAAGAACATTCAAGATTACAGTTGCTTGATAGAACTTCTTGAAATTCTAACAATTTGCCTCCACGAAAAGAATCGCCCGACTGAAAATCTTCCAAGCCCCCTCTCCGTTTCGTGCAACTGAGAATTTCAATGAATGATTTCCACGGAACATCTGACGGGATTCTTCCAACAATTATCTTGTACAGCTCGTCGGAAATATTTCCGGAACTAAGCCATATGATCACAATCCTTCCAATCTGTCCGTAGCTAAGATGATCACTGGTGCCAATATCTTGAACGACGAATTCTTGAAGTAAGTCAGAGGAAAGCTTTGTTCTCCTTAAAGAAATCATACTTTCAACCATTGACTGTCGGGGGTCAAGGGGGAATACCTTTTCAAAGTACTTTGTAGATAGTGTCAGAAAGTTCTGTATTCTACTCTCAAAAATTTTAAAATCATGGTGTTTGGACTCACTTAAACACTTTGCAATCTCGTAAATATTTAGTAGGCACATGCTTTGACAAAATAGAGGCATGGACTTTGCAGCCAATTCATAGAGGAATGCAAGAGTTTCAAGAACATTCAGACCGACTACGAGTAGTTCTGTATGCCAATGAGTCCGAGCAGCAGAAATAAAATGCCGAGCATCAACAAATACTGTCTGCTTGTTCCGTCTAACGACAAAGTTTTGAATATTTTTGATCCATTCGGCTTCTGGATGCAGCAGAACATATGTGACGTTGAGACCATTCAACTGCTGCCTAGCACCAAAGTATTTCAAGCAAAATTCACCAACTCCCTTAAATTCGCCAAAATTTACTTCGCCGAGGCACTCGAGAGAATCAAGAACGTAAAAGACATTTTTCTTCCACGAATTCATAAACTGAACCAGCGTTCCAACACTAACCTGACAGCACGAAATCAGTTCTTCTGAACTCTGTAGATTGACCGATAATTTATCATCCCAAACATACTTCGTTGCATCATTTTGAAAATGAAAATCCAAGATCTTTCTACTGCATAAAATTTCACCTACGAGACATCTACATTTCTGAGAGGCGCTGAAAATATGCTTCAGGTCAGACCAATCACCCGACTCATTTGATAAAACTTTAATTTCAATGCTCGTGGTCTCAAAATTTGTCCCATGACTCGCAAATGACATCGCCTTCTTTAAGAGATCCTCCTTTTGCACGAACGACTTCAAAGGCCAACCTTTGCTTCCGGCCATCCATAAGGAGTGAGAGAGCACATACAAAAGGATGAGCGAGGACGCCTTATCGAAATCCCCTCCCTTCCCGGTCATATCAGCTTCACAAAGAATATCTCCCTTCAGCCGCGCGATTTCTGCAGCTTCAGCAAAGTTTCCTGACTCTTCTTCTAATAGAAGCAGCTCGTCAAGGCACTTTCGAGACATCAAGAATTTGCGCTTCATGTCCATTGATGGAAAAGCTCTGACGAATTTCATCATAGATGCTTTGTCCTTGAGCTCAAAATAATTATATGCACAATTCTCTAGGAACTCCTTCCCAATTTTGTCAATTTCAACAGCACTTTTCCCAATATTATCCCCCTGGACAGCCTGTTGCTTCCAGTACTCGATATATTTCAGACCTAAGTCATAACATTTTCCTTTGGAACAAACTGACAGACATTCTGCGAAATAATTTCCTTTTGCATAAACTCCTGCTGCCCGCTTATAGCGACCGGCCAGTAAAAAACATTCAGCAGCTTTTATCAGTTGAGATTCACCACACTTGTCCAAATAAATACTTCCTGCATATAAGATTGGCACGTTATACAGATTAACCAAAAACACCATCACATATGAGACTTATGTAGAATTAATGATGACGAGTTTATATGCATTTTATAGCACTAAATACCAGAGATAACCAACGCATTAAGACAGAAGGCTTTTACCATTTTCAATTGATTAGTGAACAGGTATACTAATGTTTTTCATTAAACTAAAGTACTAAACATATCCTGCGTCAAAGAAAAAGTCGCATTATCCTTTTTTAATTTCATTTCAGGTGGAGGAGGGAAGGTGCTAAAGCTCAAAAGTGGATGTCTAAAATTTAAGAAACGGAAGTGCAAAAATGACTTCAAAATGCAAACACAAGAAAGCTGCAGAGTTGGAAAAGAAAAGGAAAAAATCCCAATAGGTTAGGAACTCCGGGGGAAACGAGGCAAATTTACAGGAAAGATCACCATTATCATACCTGCTCTTTCATAGTCCCTCAAGTCATAAAAACATTCAGCTGCAGACTCGAACCTGCCAATAGAATAAAAGATTTCAGCAGCCTCGAGAAGATAGGTGCGAGCCTTTCCAGGATCTGAATAAAGAACTCGTTCAGCAGCTGCCCTGATACCAGCTGCCTTAGCTCTTTTTTCCCAATCCGTTTCTCCCGCTTGCTTGAAACACATTAGTGCCATCTCATAATTTTTCTCCCAAAACAGCTGCATTAGAACATCAACCACTTAATGAGGACAGGGAAAAATTGAGATGCATATTTTAATGACATAAGACTGAAAAATGGAACGTTGAATCAATGGAACAAGGAAGATCAACTTGACCTTCATTCCCCTTGATTTCCACTCCTCCGGAGTGCTAAATGTTTGCATAGCTTCTGCGATTGAATCATCTACCTCCCTTACTTCTACAAGACACAACCTTCGCCAGTACTCAAACATAGGCCTAGAAAACTCATCTACGCTTTCACATATCCATAATCTTTGCCTTGTTCGAGTAATTGCCACATATAGTTGCTTCAGTTCAGAACACAAGACATTATGTCTTGTATCAGAGAAACTTGGGAAGGATAAATCGGCTAAATTTTGTTCATTCAGGAACTCATATACGACTCTCCACTGATTTCCAAGTGGCGACGAGCTAAAAAAATTGTATAGGAGTACGTCCTACAAATGATCAATGAAATATGAACATGAGAAGAATTCAGTAAAAGACAGCAGAAATGTAATATATTCAGCAACTTTTCCAAGTAGAATTAAAACTGTAGCAAGGTAAGTTAAGTGCCGCAAACCAACCTATTCCGTCTTATAATGTATACCAACATTTCAGTCAAATGAACTTTATGTGTGTGTGTATAGTATGTATAATCTTCAGATAGTCATGAAATCTAAATCTGCATTAGTTCCAATATAATTTAGTCATATAAACCCCTTAGAATAAGGAATTTACTGTTCTAGAATAATGGGATCAAATGACAGATTTGCATTGTCTCTCTAATTATTGTACCAGATTTTATTGGCCATATGCAAGAAAAAATTGATATTATTTCTTCTCAACTTTAATTATCACACAAAAAGACACATTGCACATGAATAATACCTATCGCGGACCATCTAGAAATCACATTGCACATGAAAGTATTTTCTATGTACTTCCAAAGCATGTGTCTAACATGTACGACCACAGATTAGAGGTACTGTTTTTGGTTCCTTCAAAACAACAGAAACTTGCTAGTGTATGATAATTGCGCCACAGGCTGCCTATATTTAGGTCAAGAAAGGCAGGAGAAAGAGGTAAACAGCTTGCTATTCAAGCCTTAGAGTAGTAAGATCTCATTACTCAATTTTTCAAAAAAAGAAAGAAAGAAAGAAAGAAA